GCTATAGTTCGAAAATTTCGTACAAAATATTCGATGACAAAATATGGTCGTTATAGTGATTTAACTTTATCAACTTTGAAGGGAGTGATTGAGAAATTTGAGCAGACTGGATTAACACAATGCTCGTCCAAATCAAGGCGTTCTAGTGTCAATATAGAAGAAAGACAAGTGAAGCTTTCCTTAATGACTTTCTTTATTTTTAAAATATTGCGAACTGTGTTTTATATTTATTTTAAATCTTTCGTTAATTTTCGGACACATATCTAAATAGGCAAAGGCAAGACAATTACAGTTCCTTTTTCTTCTCTATTTCTCAACCGATTTCCTTCACCAATGCAGCATCATAGGAACACTGGCGGGTTCAAAGAGGGAGAAGAAGGTATACTGAGAGCTAACAAGTTGAAGCCCCCAAAACGCACATATTACAGCTAATAAATGTCCTATCCACCTATCAAGAAAAAAACATGAAAATGTTATCCCTAAAAGCATTGTTGTTATTGTCTTTACCATTACTAGCAAGGGGATATTGCAGTTAGTAGGTCACCAATGTCAACAGATTTTTTAGATTTTTTTTGGTGATGCTACATCCAAAAATATTGAACACTTTCGTTCCAATGGGCCCTAAGAGTCGAGAAAACAAAATTAAATAATGTCAAACAAACATTATGTTATTTGTTTTTGCCTTTGGTTTGCCTGAATTTCTGGTTATTATATATCAATCTATTTCTTTTTTGTGTGCAGAGTAAGAAAAAAAAAAATTGTTTGACTAAGATTTATATGATATCATAAATAATTCAAAACAAAAGGCGCCTCCTGTAAAGTAGTCCAAATAAGTTTTTCTAATGTAAAAGAAAGCTAGATTCATTTTTAGTTTCCTTTAAAACTCTTATATACGAATTATCATAGAAATAAAAAATTGCTAACTTTAGTATTTATTTGCTTTGAGAATTTTTTTTTCCGGCGAATAATTAAAGCATTCATAACTTCTCATGTTTTCTCCCCAAATTCAACGTTAGTACTACCGTTGGAAAATTGAATTAGTGCTCTTTAAGGCAAGTAAAATCATTATTAAATTAAATTATATTAAAACCTGTACCACTACAATCCATGAAGGGTCTTGGGTTCAGTACTATCCAAACAACAATGATAGGCATTTTAAAATTTTCTGTGGGTTACTTTGTTCATACAGTTGTCAATAGAGGGCATTGTTCTTCAATCTTGAAAAAACTGGAACCTTTAAATCAACAAGGAAGCTTATTATCTACATTTAAAGTCCAACCTGTTCATCGCTGGGCCCCGTGTCCATAACTGGCACGGTCACCATAATTATTAGATGTTTCTTTTAAAAAGTTAGTTTTTCTGTTCAAAACGAAAAAAATAAAAAAATACAGAGACAGATTGAACTCAATGTCAGCGAGAGGAGATGTCGCCATCTGGTTTTCTTCAGATACTTTAATGACAAAAATTACGTGCTTTGTCTCCTTTCGACCTTAGGAAACAGCCTATTTTTTATTTTATTTTTTGCCCTGTCTTGTTAGCTTACTGATTTCAGCTAAAATTTCAAACGTCTACAGGGTTCTCATATGAAGTTATTTATATAGCGTATTTTTATCGAATTTCGTAAATATTTTTAGTAAACATACAATAATCGTCTTAAAACGGCAAAGTACATAATTAATGATTAATTGCACATTATGTCCAGTTTAAAATATTTCAATATACGAAAAAGACTTTTTCTTGTTTCAACTCAATTTTTCTTAGTTGATAGAACAGAATAAAAAAATCTTCCACATCATTATAAAAAGGTGATTTAAATTAAATATAAAAAACATTTCTTTCTTCTTTTAATGTATTTTTCTTTGTCATTTTAAAAGCTGATAGTTTAGGGTTAGTAAAAATAGAGCGTTATACGAGAGAACAACGTGTTTTAATTTTTGAACAATATTTTAAAAACCATGATAATCAAGTGGCCATAGTTTTGAAATTTCGTACAAAATATGGTCGTAATAGTGATTTAACTTCATCAACTTTGAAGCGAGTGATTGACAAATTAATTGGTGATGTAAACACACTTATCGCCCAAATCAAGGCGTTCTATATAGAATATAGAAGAAAGACAAATGAAGCTTTCCTTAGTGACTTTCCGTATTTTTAAAATATTGCAAACTGTGTTTTATATTTATTTTAAATCTTTCGTTAATTTTCGGACACCTATATAAATAGGCAAAGGCAAAACAGTTCAGTCCCTTTTTTCTCCTGTGTTTTCAACCTATTTTCTTTTTTAGTTTAGTAGCTATTGACAAGCTTTAGCGTAATCAATAAAATTTTAAAATAAAATAAATTTGGAAACCGTGAATATTGAGGGTTATATATAATAGTGAGGGTTATATATAAAAAAAAATCGTAAATAATGATTTTTTTTTTTTTTAAACGGAACTTATTTGAGTTCAGTAGCTCTAAAGTTCTCTTTAAATGGTTTCAGGCGTCAAAACTGGAGGATTAAAATAAATTCCAATAAATCCCATCAAATTACCTTTACTCTCCGTCGTGAACCTAGGACTTCCTGTCCTACAGTATTCTTTAACAATAACCCACTTATCCCTGTTGAACAAATCCTAGGACTCCACCTGGACAAACGACTCACTTGGAACCCTCATACCATATTGAAACTACTAGAAACAGCCCGACGTTTTCGACTACTGCAGCACTTACTAGACAAACGCTCTAAACTTTCAACTATTTACAAAAGACTCATATATATTACTATAATAAGGCATATTTGGATTTACGGGATCGAGCTTTGGGGCTCTACTAAACCATCAAATTCCTCTCTTATCCAATCCTTCGCAAAATCTTCAGTGCTCCCTACTTTGTCACAAATAAAATCATCCATAACAACCTTAATGTACCATATGTTGGCGATTTAGCTTAATCCAGATACCTATCCTTTCATAATAAACTTCTGAACCATCTGAACCCTCTTATTTCCAACCTCCATTCCTCTTCTATTCCTGATAATCCTGCGAGGTGTCTGAAAAGAAGATGGCCTCCGGACCTTCTAATACAGAATTATAATTGGAATGCTACCAATTGGTAGTTTCTCTTCATGTAGTATAAGACATATTACTTGTTGTATTTATCATTTAATACCTTATTTTTATAATCTTGGAAGTACTTAGAATGTGACTTAGACTGAGCTCACTTAATTAGTTTTATTAAACATCTCATCAATTAATCCATTGAAAGAAGTCCCTAAGTACCAGACAGTGACTGCTCTGTAATGTCAGTACACCGTTCACTTAGTGAAACTATTTTTTACGTATAAAAGGATCTGTATTATTTGAATGCACTTAATGAGTTATTGTATCGATAAATATGATCGTAATTAACAACTATGTATCTTCAAATAAAATTCGACCAAAATTGTATTGTATTGTACTTATTAGTGACTTTTAGCAATTAACGGACGATATATGTATATGATATATCTACATATAAAAAATTTCTCTTTGGGATTTTTCTAGCAATCCCACACTGCATAGCGGTAAAAAAAAAGGATTTAAGATAAATTGCATGGAATCAATTTCATCAATTTTTCAGTTAACAATTTGATGATTGTGAAATGTAAAAATATGACATATGAGGAGGTTATAAAGTTTTTGTAATTAATAATGCAATTATTTAGACGTGTTCTTATTGGATTATTCAATTAACTTTTAAATTAAATAATAATCTTATTTAAATATATACGTATTATTACTTATGTACTCAATAAAAATGTTGAGAAAGTTATTCTGATTTAATTAGAAGATTTTTTTTTTTTAATCTTTTCGCTCTGAATGTTTGTTATGGAATATAATTTCTGATATCCATCCAGTGAAATTATAATGAATTATAATGTGTTGGCATTAAAGAGTGTACTGGAGTTTTAAGAAACATTGTATACTCGTTTATCCTCTAGAATTTCACTTTCAAATCATGTCTCCTGGTGCCTTAGATGCTTGTAATGAAATTAGGACAAATGCAAATAGGTACAAGGAAAAAGCAGGAATTATCAGAAAATAATATTAATTCAAGAAATGGTTTATTCAGAAGGTAAGCCACCCGTGAATTATAAATCAGCTGTTCCGCGTGGGTTAATCGAGCTAGCCGTGATCTGGAATACATATAACCTCTGACAAGATGTGGTTTTCTCTTCAAAGCAGCACATACACCATAGATGCCGCAACTGTTCAACTATGTAATAGCCTATTGTTCTACAATTTAGTATTGATTTTATTTTAAATTCATTATTATTTAACACGTTAGCTGCGGTAACTGTCCTCGGGTTCCGAAATTTTTCTCGACTTCGGCCGAGATTGTTTTGAATTTTTGAATATCTGACGAAGTCTCTACAATGGTCATTTTTAAAAATATTTGAATGGGAGTTGGATAGATGTAAATATAGATTCAAATGTAAATAATCATTATATCTGATATAAAGCTATCGGACGCCGGGGACCGTAACCGCAGCTAACGTGTTAATATAATGATATATCGTGTACGGGGCACTAGCTGATCCAGGATTTAATTTTTGGGGGGGCTTCAGCCTGAAAGCTTTTTTTTCATAAAAATAACGATAATTAATTTGGAAAAAAAAAGAAAGAAACTAACTACGTATATGAAAAAGGGTGTTTAAGTTATTCCTGAAGTCCTTTTAAATGTAATTACACGAACAATAATACTTTAAGAGATAATTTTTTTTTCCCATAAAACATGGTTATATTTTACCAATTTTGGAGGGAGGGAGAAGGGGACTTCAGCCCCAAAGCTTCCCTTCCCGTAGATCCGCCCGTGGTACGGGGTCCTGATCTATTTAAACTTGAAATATAGAAAGTTACTCAATTCAGTTCTCTGGAGTGAAAATGTTTATAATAAAGAAAATAAATTAACATATAAGGCTCTGGTAGAGAGTGTAATGCTCTATAATTCGGAAACATGACCGCTCGAGAAATCAGAGATCAAAAGATTTCTGGATATGGATTTTTGGAGAAGGTCGGCTTGGGTCTCAAGGACGCAAAGAATCAGAAATAAGACCATTAGAGAAATGATGGAAGTTAAGAATAATATACTGGAAATAATGGAAGAAAGATGATTACAGTGGTATGGGCATTTGAGAGGTAGGCTGAGGGTAGGAGAAGGAGAGAAAGGCCTTGTGTCAGATGGAGAGATGTGGCTGAGAGTATGGTTGGCCGAAGGGTGGCGGAAGAGGAAGTGACGGACAGACAGAAGTGGAGGAACCGACTGGGGGAGGAGTTAGGCTGAGGGAATGAAACTTCAATTTCTGAAGAAAACAAATTAAAAAAAACAAAAAAAAAAAAATATATATATATACATAAAGAATGGTAAAATGACAATATCTCTATTGGATCTTGGATGTCCCATCCCTAGTAGACACCACCTTCTTCCGGACTCATTCGGGTATTTTCTGGAATCTAGGAGTCGCATGCTATTATGATCTTGAAATAGGTCGCCATCTTGGAATAGCGAAAGGCAACTTGTACTGAAAACTATTTCGATATTTTCAAATTTTCTAGCATGTTGAGGTATTTATACTAAAACTATTTTTCAATTTATTTATTTTTTAATGTAAAAATAATAAGAATCAATTATCAGTAACTGCCTTGACCCTGAACTGTATTCTTGTGTATAAACTATGCGCGGGGTTGATCTAAACGTTTCTGCGAAGGCTATTGATCACGTTTTCAACGATATCCACAGGTTAACGTCACCGAGCTACGTCACTGAAGCCATCTCCCTTCCGTGCTCAGGCGATTCCATTATTCAAAGGAATAACTTGATAGATTACTTCGTGACTCTTTAACTGTTTAAGATATGATATTTCCCTTCTGATAATCGTGATAGGCTCGGAGGAGATTTTTCAGAGATGATTAAGGGAAAAATATACTTGCAAGTAAAAACAATAATTACCCGGAAGAAACGATTCTGACAATACCAAAATAATGCTTACAGACTCTCATTTGCGCTCCATCAAAACTAAAATGTTCCGCTAGTTTGCACTTGATTTCAATCCTCCCGTCTACATCTTGCTCGAATACCCCGACAGTTTAACGATCCCGATTCATTCGCCGAGATGCTATTATATTTACTGGGTAATTCTGCGTTGAGTAGTCATCTTAAGTATACAAATATTCAAATATTTTATACAATACTTAATTTTCAAATTCAAAAACCATTATTAATTAAAATTTATTGTAACCCTCATTTCTAAGGAGGGGAGTAACCCAGTGAGTAAGGCGTAGACTTACTCCTCCCGGATTCGAGTCCGGCTGGACGCCACGCCTGGACCCACGCCCCAACCTGCTCGGCCATCCATTCCTCGGCTGTGGCAGTAAGTTATTTATATTAATTTTGTTCATTATACCTAGATTTGGTGTCGTGATGTTTTCATTTTTATAAATTAAGGTCGTTATTCCACAAAAAATAGATTTATTTTTCATTTTATTTCGACAACGTTTCAGCCAACCTTAGGGCCATTGTATTATTAGTAGTTGTTTAATATATTTCATTAGACTCTGGGTTCAGAAGACCCTCCTGGGGTACAATCAGCTCCTGTTCAATAGGTTATCTTAATTAAGTAATAAATTGAGCGAAAAAACCTGATGGTTGAACTTGATCGCGGCCTAATAATCTCCTTGCTTAACCATTTACCTTGAAACAGGCCATATAAGTACTGAACCCAAGAATCTTTATGGCTTGTAGTGCTACAGAATTTTAAATGTTTTTATCGTCTTTCCTAGCTTTCGGCTAAACATTTTTTTTTTTAAATTTACACTATCAACATGTTAGGTTAGTTATGCAATAATATTAGCAATAATTTTCTTCAAAATAAGCAGGCTTTTTCCTCCTGCTTACTAGTATTTATTTCACTCCTTCTTTTTTTTCCCTTCCTCGCCTTTTAACCAGAGTTAAAAGTCCTCAGAGCAAGTTTATCAGATTTTCGGGCACCATTCCCCCATTTATTTTGCTCCTCTTCTTGGTGGGATTCATTCGCGACATCTCTTTCCGTAGGTCGTATTCGCAGAAAAAGTCTTTGAAGTATGGGTAATTATTCATGGCAGCCTTCTGAGGGAAATCGTCCTCTGAGGTGTCATATACTCCGATTTTCCTCAGCTGTTCGGCCCTTTGTGTCTCGAAAGAGATGCAGTTTAGGAAGAAGTTTTTCGCACATTTCAGGGCACCTAGCATGTTATCATATTTATTATCCTTCTCAAATTCATAAATTTTATTATATTAAAAAACCTGTAGTCATTAATCAGGTTTCATCAAGACAGTAAAAGCTTGATTTGTTTTTATTGATTTTTATTCTTTCATAATAGGTAGTTTTCTGAAACATTCTCTGTAATCCCCGAACCGATAGTAATCAGCTCCGGTTATTGAATTGGCAATGTACATTAAAAGATCCATCATTTATACTTTTTTAGTAAATTTACTGTTAACAAGATTAATCAGAAATTTATTTAATATTACGTTGATTTCCTTTGAGAATATATGCTAATTAAAATATAGTTAATAAATTACTTTTCAAATTAACATATTATTTATACACACCCTTGAAATCAGTTGGCTGTATATAGAATACTATTTTAGTTAATCGGGCGATTATTTATGTAAACCTATAATTTTACGATTGAAAAAATAAGCATTTTATTTCAAGGAATTGCTATTGATAATTACATCCAATTAAAATGATTGTAGAGCTATTAAGAAATGTTTTTAAATTACTTCACAATAATTTTTATATATTCAATTCTGATGTCCTTAATACTCAGTAAAATAGTATTTATCTTCTAATTGTTGTTTTTGGTGTATTTCTGAATAAATTAGAAATGATAATTTCTGTTATTATTAACATTAGTTATCAATTTTATCCAATTATGAAACAGATGTATTTCTCAATTTATGAGCTTGTTTGAAAAAAATAATTCTTCAATTTGCAACGTAGTAGTCTGCATATAAAATGAAGCTTTTTCATATTATTTTTCATAGATAAAAAACTTTCTTGTTTAGGGGAGATAATTTAAATTTTAATAGAGGAGGATTAGGCTCTGCTAAATCAATTAAAATTTTGGAGAAAATTTGAAATTTTTAATTGATTACATAAATACTAGTTAAAAAATAAGCGAGAGTAGGGTATGTAACCAATACATATATGTTTGGTAATATAATTACTTTATATTGTTTTTATTATGAGTGTGTAAATGTAAACAAAAAAATCCTGCACCACTACAACACATGGAACGTCTTGGGTTCAGTAATTTTTAAGACATGTTGTGTCTAGGCTAACATTTGTGTATAAAGGAGATTGAGCTAGGATCGCGCTCAACCACCAGATTGATAATTACCTGCCACATTCTGACGCGAGCACGGGTTCTTGAGTTCGGGAAGTCAGTTATCGTTGGTTCTCCCTAACCTATTTTTTTCTGAAACCTAACGTTTCACTAATGTTAAAGAATGACTCCATTCTACATCGTTTTATTATTGTGTGGTCTAAATTGCAGTTCGTTTGAATACATTTATCGATTGAGAAAACGAAGTTTCTATAAAAAAATAAAATGCAAATATAATAATACGTTGTGCAACTTTACTGGTACTCTACAATTTAAAATTTTAATCCTTAAGAATATCTTTTCGTATGATACGGGTTTTGTTTGAATGTGTAAAAATGATTCAATTCCAAACGTGTGAATTTGATAACTCTCTTAATATGCCTCCACGACGTGAAAAATATTTCATTCAAGATTTCCATTTAATTGCTCAATTAATTAATATAATTATCTCACTATTAAAACATTCTTAAGTTGGCCATTTAATTAAAATTTTCGTAATTGTTGCAATATCTTTTGGGTCCTGGACACTCAGCGCCACCAGACATTCAGCTGCTCCAAACACTAAATTGTATTTAATAAGCCTTGGCAGGAAATAATTAGTCTACTTTAATCAGAAAATTACATGTTATTTTAAATTGTTATTTATTGGTATGTTAGTTGATATTTTGATAATATTTTGTGATATGATATTATGAATCGTTTCGCTAAGGCCACATATTATATTTTTATTTTTATTATTTTTTGAGGTATTAATTAGTCTGGCCATAAAAAAAAGTTCATTATTATATTGACTATTCACAATTTTTTTTATCTCTCATTATAGTGGACTTATATAATATTTTTTAAAAAATTCTGGTTACGTCGAAAGTTTATGCTTTCATTTATAAAAATGTCGTTTTCATGATTTACAATGCTTAGCTGATTTGCTTCCTCACTACCGAAGTTGTGCATAACGTTTTGTGCTCTGATTCGAAAATTTCCATGAGCATTTTTCGTTTTAAAAATCAAGGTACAAGTTTGGTTCCATGTCCTATTTATTTTATTTTATTAATTTTTTTAATTACTCACTGCCTTAAATAATTAATTAAAGGAAAAAACCTGCCAGTTGAGCTTGGTCTTGGCAACGCAGGGTTAATGTGACGTTTAATGCCCGAGTTGCTTCTCTTGGAAAGCTTAATTTACTATTGAAGTGTTATCAATAGAGCAAGATTTTTTTTCATTTCTTAGCCATGGCTCGCGGGACTTAGTGGAGGTTTAATGTGACCCGTGGGCCAAAATATTCAAGAGACCCCTATTCTAGAAATACCAACAAACCTATTATAACCAGAGGGGAAATGGCGAGATTAATTCCGTGTGTCAGTTATGAATAAATTTCATAAATTTCGCTTGACTCACGAATTTAAATGAAAAAAAAAACTTTTAAAGGTCTTTTACTTAGAAAAAAATGGCTCTATAATTGGAGATACTATGTGACAATTTATGAGATATAAGAATTTTAGGAGATAAAAAATATTTTAAATACTCATTTCTACGTTTCATCTTAATTAATTTTTAGAATAGTTAAGTCAGCTTCAATTATATTTAACTGCGATTTTTAAGCACATCATTTCAGAAGTTCAGGTCTTCTAGGACTAACTTTACACATTTAAATTTGAAGAAAATGTATAAACTATTTTTCAATACAATAATAACTAGGTGGTAGTCTCTATCCGCCTAACAGCGGACCAACCCCCATTTTACAAATTATACAACTGAAGATGTCCCTTCAAATCCACATTTCGAGTCTTAGATGAAGGGAATGAAAATCCGTTATTATAAATCCTAATATTATCACTAAAATTTTTGCTCAGTTTCGCCAAAAAAACAAATCTCGAATTTCAGTAAGATATTCATCTGTAGGTGGTAGTTTGATTTTACCTATCCGACAGCAGTTATTTTCAATTCTAAGATTTCCTCTTCGAACGTCAGAGCACCACATAAATCGCATTCCTTTCCAATTGCCTATATTTCCTAAATTGCCTTTTTATTAGCTTCCTTTTTTTTTCTATGATTAATAGCGAATATTTTTTTATGTTAATACACTATGTTTTAAGCACTGCTCAGTTTCGCCATAATATACTCCTGTGCAACATTTTTAGAAGCTATTACAGAAAATTTTAAATATATAAATTTTAAAACTGACACAAAACATAAACAAATAACTCATTGATCCAAGGCATGGCCACAACCAACATACTCGATGGCACCCATAGGATGCTCAAAAGATGGTGGATGGGAGAAGATCTCTTCCACTAACTATAAACATAAAATCAAGTTAGGAAGGGACATCGCGGGGCACTCATTCACCTTACGTCTTAATCTGTACTCTTTTCCTCGACAGAGATTCGCTGGTTGTTGGTATTCCTAACATATGTGAGTTTAAAAATAAAGTTTAAAAAAATAATGCTATATGTATAATAAAATAAAATCTTACACGGTCACTAAAATCTTTTATATAATAGAAAGATTGATTATTTTTTTAAAAGAAATTTTATCCCAATTCACCTGTTTATAATAACGCAGAGTTAAAAACATACCACGGCCTCTAATAAATTGGAGAGAGATAAACCGAATATAATAGACTTGATATCTTTATTATAGGATTGAATCGGACGGTCGGCATTCGTGCGTGAGGTCGCCTGGATTCGTTATCTCAAGCTCGTAAAATACGCAGCCATTAATAACGAAGGTCTTAATTACCAACATTATAGAAAAATATAACAATGAAAAGGCGAGGGGACACACACACACCTGCCAAATAACAAATTTTTGGGCGGTGCGTGGCGGATCCGACAGCCGGCCAGCTCTAATAAATTTGGCAGCTAGCGAGCTTCGCCTTTATCTTTATCTTTATCTTTATCTTTCTATAACATAATGATATAACTGGGCGGTAACTAGATGGAGTGGATAAAGCTAGGCGACAATTAGCAATTAATGGAGTGATAAAAGGAGACCAGCTGCTTCCCTAATAGTCCTCAACCGCTATCTCAAAGGTTCATCGCCGACCTTCGATTGTCGTCCTGGCTACCGGTTCATCCCAGAATAGGAATTCGAAGGCTTCAAGAAGAATATTGAGACATTTATAACACGCTAGAATATATTTATAAATTAAAAATGCAAATTTTCGTTTGCTCAAAACCGCTAATCTCCTTAAATTCTTCACTGATTTTTTTAAAAATTTTGATACAATGTTGCCATCGAATTCAAGATTATTTTTATATACATTGAATTACCATCCGCCATTTCGTTTCGAAATAGGGGAGGAAAAACGTGTATCGCTATAGACGATAATGTCAAAACGGTTTTAATGAAACTTGGCTAAAGTCTTCTCCTTGAAGCTATTTTAACTTTTGTATACAACATACTTCCCTGGAAACAGGATGAAAAAATGTACGGTAATCGTACTAGTGATAGACATAGCTAAGGAAATTTTGACTTTTTTGGTTTATTCCGCCGTAATTATTATAATTATAAACTTCTCCGTTATTTTTTTATTTAACACTTTAAAATTAAAAAAAATATTCAATTATGCAGATTTAATCTCCATTTAAAAAAAAAACGCCTTTTGCACTAGTGATGAATACACCAAAATTCAATTGTTCTAGGACAGGTAGTCGGTAACTGTAATAGAAATACCTCAGAAAAATTGTAAATCTTTATTTAACAAAAGAGATAACAATGAAGATAAGATAACATAAATGTTCAACTGACTCTTAGCAAAACTTTTAGTAGGAAGGTATGAAACAAGGCATTTTAAAATTGTCTTTTGGGACCTTTAAATCAACAAGGAACCTTATTATTTAGATTTAAAGTCCAACCTGTCCATTACTGGTCCCTCTGTTCAAAAACCGGTGCGTTCAGATTCAGAATTTTATTTGCAAATAACTCAATAAGTACAAATTTTTTAGTTAATTAAATCTATGTGTATTTGAAACCTTCCTAAATTCCTTACAAAATGAAAAAAACATACAAATCGAATAGAATCTTGACTGATAAGATTTTTTATTGCGTTTTTTCGGTTAATTTTTTTAGGAAAGCTCTATTATGACAGATTTATGTTCGGAATATAGCTATAGTATGAGTACTATGTTGCTATGAAACAATATGCACAGACCGAATGAGCAAAGTGGGTACAAATAATTTTTTGATAAAAGCAACGATGGATTTGTTAAAAGTAATTTTATTAATATTAATTACAAATCGATCATATGTTATTTCGATTATATGAATTTAAATATATATATATATATATATATAAAACACATATGTTCAGTTATAACCCTGTTATTTCTATGAAGTTGTGTTGTTAGTTTAATAAAGATTGATTTTGCTTAGTTTAAAAAAAGGCTTAGTTTATCCAATGTTTTGCACTTAATAATAAAACCATAAACCATTAATAAAATCAACAGGATTCACATTTTTATTTGCCAATAACTCTAAAAGTACTCAAATGGTACTACACTGATTTTTTTGTAAGTAGGTACATATAAAATTGAATATACGAATATATAAGAGTAGAAAAAGAAAGTTGGAATCATTCAAATTTATTTATATTTTCCTAGAATGTTCAATAATGAATATGGTCGAATTTCTACCTTTTGGCATTAATTTAGGATGAATAAATAGATAATGTGAAAAGGATAACTATTTTAATCCTTATAAGAATATTATCCTTATAACGAAGTACAGCTAGGTAGATTGCTACTGACCAGGAAGCCCGAGGTGTTGTCGAGGAGGCACCTGAAGCGGACGGTGAAAGACCTCTCGAGGAGGTGGGCCCGCTCCGGGTGGAGGCAGTCCTGGAGCTGGAGGCCGCTGGAGTCCTGCGGCAGGAAGGAGTTCCAGAGCAGCTGCCTCTGCAGCTCCTCGCGGTCCTCGGAGTGCACCAGTTCGTAGACGCTTTGGTGCACGATGTCAGACTGCAACATGAGTCATCAGATATATTTTAATATAGAGCATCATATTATAATATATAGGAGTATAAAAACATACATAGAAATTAATAAATAATTTGTAAATTAATTCTGTGAACAATGCAAATTTATTTATAAGATACAGATATCTGTCAAGATAAATTTGTTATCTACAAGGTAATGAGCAAATATGATAATAAGTAATATATATAATATCAAGGAGAACAGAACAAAAATAAATAATATATATATATATATTATATTATATATTATATCCGTATATATTATATATATATATAATACCAAAGAGAACAGAACAAAAAAAAAAAAAACACAATTAAGCAATAATAGAAAATTCAGGCGTTGATGATCCTAGGGTTTTACGCCTTAAATCCTAAATAAACAAACAAGCAATAATAGAAAATAGTTAAAAATAAAATCTAGTAAATTACTTAAATCTAGTAATTCTCTTGGAGTCCCGCTTTTCCTTCTATAGTTGAGGGAGAAGCCTTGTTTGGGGTTCCCTGCCTAATTGTATATATTGTATATAGGTATGACTGTGTTTTTATGTTTTTTAATTTACTTATCTTTAGGATATTTTATTTTTTTATTGTACATATTTTTTATTTAGTTATTATTTTACTTTTATTAATTTTATATTATCTGTATATATGGTGTGAATGTGTTCATGTATCACTATATAGTATTGTCCACGTGACAGATTGTTATAATTCTAAATAAAAAAATAAAAAATTATTCAATGTTAAAGTAAATTACAAAATTAAACTGAAGGGAAAACAAATTTAAATAACAATAAAATTATAGCAGCTTAATGTAGTAAGTGGGTTTGAATTCAGAGTCAGCCTGTCATGAAAATTATTAAAACGGTCTGCATTTGCTGTGATAAAACGTCAAGATCAGTGTGTAACATCAGATTATAAACATAAAAGGGGACGTCTACAATTTTCCGGAGAACTTTTGACTGAAACGATTGCTTTCGTTTTATATTTGATGTCTTTTATAATTCCCATAACAGGATTCCATATGTCCAAAGTGGTTTAATGAGGACTTTGAAAATATTTAATTTATTAATTAAAAAAAATCTGTACCACTAATCCATTAAGGGTCTTGGGTTAAATATTTTGTAAGAAAGTACTATTTCTTGATCAGTGGTTGTGTCAGGAGGTGATTTGACCAAAATCACGCTCAACCGTTATTCTTATTTTGTCGACTTGAGGCTCTCTATGATTAAGAGGGGAGGAGGAGTTTATATTATTTATCGATGGTGTTTTGATCGGCAAGTTGTGAAAGAAAAAAAACTTTATTTAAGAAAAACTAAAAAAGGACACATTTTCCCCTTTAAGGTTATGCCCATGATTATATAAAAGATTACTAAATTCCTTACGAAATGAAGAAAAAAAAATCATCGAAATCGGACAATTTTTATAAAATATACAGCGTATTGAAATTTGTAAACATATTGGTTCCAAACATTAGTAAACATTTAAATTAATTTTATTTCCTTTGTCGATTGTATTTATCGATAAAGTAACAATTGGTTTCTTTAGCTTTTGATACGTGGCATTATTTTCTTTTCTTATTAATTTGGCATTTGATAACTGTATGCTGTGCGAATTTTTCGCACGGGCCTACTAGTTTAATTAATTACTTTATAGAGGCTGAATTTTTCCCAGGTGGGTTTTCGTAGATCCACAGCCTACGAAACAGAATAAATAATTTATCTGTCATCAGCTCAACTCGGACTTGGGACCTTGAGCAATGCAAGTTAGCGCCTTACCACTAAGTTACCCCACTCCCTTAATATAAAAATATTTTACATAAAAAAAAATTAATATTCTATATAATTATAACTGTGTTACAACGCATCATGCAAATGTGTCGTCTCTTTTTATTTGTTTTTTTTTCTTCAATGTTCTTGATAATTGTGTTGTTATTCATATTTGTAATCCGCCATACTTAACATCTATTTAAAACTTCTTGAGAGGCTTCATCTTATCATAACCTAAAACTTTTTTATCTACTAAAATGCTCGGCGATTGGGCGTTTTCAAACTGGAGACTGGTAAACTTTGACTATTTAATGAGGTTCTAATAACTCAAGAACACCGACTTGCTTTTCACTTACGTACGAGAATTTGATCACGAAATCGAGAAAAGACGTAGCCTACAGAAATATTGGGCTGTTTAGAGTGATTTCTACCCAAAATATGTCAAAATTACGAGGTTGTATAAGCAAAACAGCCAAATATTTTTGTATACCATCTTTTTTCTCGTTATTGTAATCAAACCATCTTATGATTCAAGTGGAAAGCGAATGGATATTCATGAGTTTCTAATACATCATTAAATTAATTAATTATATGATAAAACGTCCCATTTCTGAGAATTTACGATAAGATTAGAGGTTGAGGATACGATAAGATAAAGGCATTGGCGAAGTTTTAGACGATGTTAATAATTTGATAAATTATTTACACGGACTACTACACACTAAGTCGAGAGTTTGGAGAGTTCTGTCGAACATTTGGGGAAAAACAAAAGCTAAAATTTGAAAGTTTGATTGCTATAGTGACAAAGTAATGGTTTTTCAGTCATGCCCAGCTAGGTCATCATATTAAATCTAACATTAATATTATCATCCATATTTAATGATTTAGTAATAATTTCATTAACATCGTATCATTTTGGCGACCTCGTGTTAACAGTTTGATTAAAAATAAAATGGCAACAGGCCGGGATATAATTGCTTTCAGAAATTATTTGCTTTGTTCCTATTAATTGTGTATTTATTTCAATATTTTTCAATAGCAATGGATGGATGGTACATATAAGTTGCTATTGGGTCACTTTAAAAATGAATAAATTTAATGTAGGTTGTATATTTTATCTATATTTTTAATAAAAACGGTTTTAATCTACATATTATTTGAATATTTATTTATTAATATTATAAGTTTCATTGTGTCATTAGTTGAAATCATACGTGAAGCATCAGACAGTAGATTATGCGAGAGACTTACATTCGAATTAACATAATTAACTAACACATGATGAATTATGCATTGACTAACGACACCGGTATCCCACTGAGCATCCTTAAGAGCTGAATAACATATTTTTATGACTATTAGACTGAAAACATTAAATTAAATAATAACAAATATAATGAATTTCCTACTACATATTTAATTTCTAATAATTATTTAATTAATCAATGTATAAATTCTCAGTTATAGGCATATCTTATATATTGTATATAATACTATATCATTATTTATTATCTTATATTATTATGGTTATGACATAACATAATTATGTGCAAAAATATCTTATGCAATCAGGCTTAGCGAATTCCCTCAACCTCTGAGAAGCTTTATAAGTAAAAGTCACTTGTCTACTGATCGCTCACATAATTATTTCAAGATTTTTTTTGTTTTGAATCATATCAATATTATTTTTAAAAAAAATTAATATTACAGTTAAAAAACATATTTTGTTATATTATATAAGAGCCTGCCTGTTTGAATAATTCGCTTGATTGCTTAATCGTCGAATTGCAGTACTGTTACAGTACAGGATTTAATTCGGATCACGAAGAAATAAATTTGGATCAATAAATGCTCTTCAATTATTTTTTTTTGGGAGGTGGGAGGAGAGAAGACTGCAGCTTGGAATTCCATCCCTGAATCCACTAGTTAATAAAGTATTTAAATTAATCAAATCAAATTAAATTTATCACTACAGTATGTAGGTCAATATTAGTTTAGTTGAGGGCAAGATGGTCGTGCGGGCTAACGCGAGTGCAAAATACTCCGTTGGTCGACAACCTGATAAACCGAAGATTACGAGTTCAGATCCCGGTGCCGAGAGAACTTTTAGCTCTGGCATTAATCCTCTCTCCTCTAGTATATATAACCAGAAGGAATGGGAGAAAAATAAAAAAATTCATTTCCAAAAAACGAAAGTAGTATGTTAGCACATTCACTTATTAAATTGATTCATAAATAAAGTCACTAGAATATCATCAGTCGTGTATTTAAATATAAATAGTTGACACGGTGACATAATAATATATGTGTCAACTATTATAATTTTGAAAAAACAATATAAATAATTCATTCATTATTATTTTTATAATTTTTTTTTTTTAAATTAGATGATAGAAGGATAGGAGATACGGGTAAGATTGACAAATCTGTTATTGATGTTATAAATTATAAAAATATATGTAATGAAAATATATAAATACAAATAACAAAAATGTTTCTTGTTTCTAGTCTGATGAGGGGTAATAAAGTAATCCCGAAAAGTCATGAAAATAGAGACATTTTTTTTTGGGAGAGTAAACTGTAACTTAAATTTATGCCTATACCATATATATAATTAAAAAATTTACATATCTATATAATTAATAAGCAACCCGAAGATGACAACAAAAAATATTTTTATTTCTTAAAAAAATACATTTATTTAGCAAAATTAAATTTAAGATTTATGTAAGTTTAAATGTTTTAAACTCTTCTACTTAAAGTTTATTGTTAAATTTTATATTGTGTGATATAAATATTGTACAAGGACCATAGGTGGTTGAGAAGCCACAGAAATAAATAGAATATATATATATATATATATATATATATATATATATATATATATATATAGGATAAGGTGTGATTGACAAATGATAACGCCTGGCTGTTGCTACGCTGGTATTATAGACCCCAGATAGACTATAGACATTGACCCCTTAACTATAGTGGATACTGATCCTCCCGAGTAGCCGGTGGTGGAGCAGGCTCAATGGCGCGGAACCCCTCAATAGCGGCCGCTACTTAGGCAGCTGTCCGTTCTGTTTGCCCCCGGCTCTCTAATGATCCATGTCACTGGGCTATTATCCTCGGGATTGTTTCCTATACCCCGTCCGTGCGGGGGTGGAGGTGGGCATTGATAGCTCTGTGGGGTATTTAACGGCTCGGGTCCGCATTTAGGAGGTTTGTGGATTTGACGTCGAACTGGCTGATAGTCCGTGTAATCCATGATCCATCCATGACTAATAAATGGTAACAAACAAACTACAAAAAAAACAAAACATATATTTATTGATTAGACGTCATCATAATATCTCGAAAATAAATGCCATCGAAAGATGAGATAAACCTCGCTTGATTTATTTGCAAGCGAGGTTTATTTATTTATTAATTAGAAAGTTACGGAATGGACTTAATCCGTAACATATAGTAATAATAATAATAATATTAATTTAATTTATATTTTGTTAAATATGCCAATTGATGAATCATGTATTATATTTTCGTTTCTCATGACTCAAAGGATAAAAGAACAAAGCATCTCTAGATAGCCAGGTCAAGCTATCTTGAATAGCTTAGAAATAGTTATCTGGAATGTACCGACTCGACACAAGACCCATTATCAAGACTTAGGGACCAATAACCGATTTCAGCAAAAGGGCATTTTCTCACTGACCTCATCTTAAAAATATTAACTATCGATAACTTCCTTTGCCGACCTCTTCCGACTTCCCTTCACCCCCTTGCTATTCTTGGGTATATAAACCCCATGATCCTCAGAACAATTCTTGAAGGCCCACTCTTCACTGTAGGAGGCCTGGAGTGAACTCGTGTAGTCAACCCTTAAAACCATAGCATATTATTCTGTATGTTAGATGCCATTTGTAACAGTCATTATAAATAAAAACCATTACTTATAAAGTCTTCACTGCCCCCAATTCGTAAACTGAATATAATAGTTCGCATTATCGCTAACGGAGAAGATTAAAAAAAAAAAAAATTAAAATATTATCTTTTGGCATTCCTCAAATGAATCATGGAAGTATCCTGGAAGATTTAACGATTTTTAATAGCCATTTAGAATAGTTTTTCGTACGTAATGTAAAGTAATCGATATTAGTCTTATAATATTAGATTGAAAAGACTGAAAGTTTTTTAATGCGTCTTTATTCCTGAATTTTATGTAAATATGTGTGGCATATGTCTATGGTTTTAAGTAGATATGTGTTTGTATTTAGTTCTGTAATGAATATAATTTTAACAATGTAGGTTTTTCTAAATATTTAATTTTAAAAAAATATTATGGTCGATAGATACTAGAAATGTATTGTATCAATTGTATGTGACAATCAATTTAATTAATTAAATTAAAAAGTAATTTGGAAAATCTGAGCAACACTTCATTATACAACTGTTTTCATTATAAGATTTGACACTTTACGATTAATTAAAATAAAACAAATAGTCAGCACTAAAGTTGCAGTACTAACTGTGATGAACATGATTGAGGACTATTGCAAGTAAAGAAGAAAAATGACTTTATGGCTTTCGTAATTCCTGGATGTTTTGTAAGGCACTAAGTGAAGACGAGAACTATCAAATTAATTAAAGTTACAAAAGGTGTAGGACTTTACAGATAAATAATCCAGCTTCAAATCACTGAAGATGAGAGATCATAATCATAGTTTTTCGCCTTTAAAAAGATAATAATGAAAGCATTCTTAAGGAAAAAAGCCTTTGAAGTATTAATTAAAGAAAGTTAGTTTCTTTATTTTACTTCCTAAGTAATTATCGTTATATATTTAAAAAAAATAAAATCTTTCGGGCTGAAGGCCCCTTCACGTAAAAAAAATAAATCCTGGACCCGGTAGTGGTATACTACACTAAAGTAATCAAAGTAGACTGAAGGATGAAATCAATATTTAAAGATAAGGATGCTGAAGTTCGTATCTCTTCAAGAACAGCGAATGTGTACTCGCCCATTGATGGAGTGGCCTGCAGCCGTTTAAAGAGGAGTTGACAGGCGGACTTCGACATGGCTTCCGAATCGGGACAGAATAAATAATAGATCTATGAGGCAGCGAACATGAATCAGCCGTGTTACAAGATATAAATGGCAGTGCTAATAGCCGGCTGCCTGTATAATAAAGAATAACGTAATTGATGTAACAATTGAGAGGGCCGTGGATCCGCTCCGCCCACGCCTCGGCTACCGGGCGCTCAAGTTTCAGTTTATGTTCCCTCTGGGCTGCTCCTCCAGCCCGCTCTCTTAATGAAGGTGCTCCTATAAGCTATCTGATAGGCTCTGCTTTATAGTTGAGATATAGAAAGCCGTGAGCTTGGGGTAGTATTTATTACCATGTATATTCTATCCACTAGCCAAAAGGATTACTTGAACTATCCATTTTAATGTAGAGTAAATACATAGCTTTAATAATACATATTTTTGTTTCAAATTTTCTTAAAATAATTGGTGCGGCGTATCATCTAATTTTAAATTATCACTCTGTAGTCTGTTGTGCAGATCTCTTTTTATCAAATTATTAACATTCCTCTAAAAGTTCGTGAATGGTTCTACCTTATCGTAACAATATTATTTTATTTACGTGAATACTCGTAAATGGAATGTTCTCAATTAGGGGATAAACAGACTTTCTATAGTCTATTTATTGACGTACTAAAAGTCCATGAACATTTGCTTTCTGCTTGAAACGTAAAATCGAGAAAAAATGTTCCGTTTAAAAAGATTAGGTCTTTTAGTGTGACCTACACGCAATATTTTTGTAGGCCACCCTTTTCTCGATGTTATGATCAAATTATCTTACGATTCAGATAGTAAAAAAATGGATATCCATGGGTTTTTAAAACCTCATTACAGTAATTAATTTAATGAAAACGTTTTAGAGAATTTTCATAGATAAAAAAATTGTAGATTACGATAAGATGAAGCTCTTTAAGATTTAAACTCAATATTAATTCCCCGCCCTCATCCCCTGCCCCGTGAAAAACCCGTATCGCTTTAAGGCAAGGAAGGTTAAAAAAAAAAGTCAGTAAATTTCCACTCGGGTTTTGCGTTTTTAGACATCAAAGATCAAATTTGATTCGATGTCTGTTCGTCTATCTGTGGTCAAATAGAAGTAACGGACACTTCGTTGGTACAAATGCTAACTAACGAATATGAAAATTTGCTTTCTTTTTTTTCGATTCTGCATTCTACTGATTGTAATTATGATTAAACATTTTTAAACAGCGAATACAAAATATTCAAATATTCATAAAAGCAGATATTAGTGTCGAAATTAAAAATTATCCTTATTTGAGCTGAATTGATAACGATATTAGAGTGATGATTTTCAGATTCGATAGTTAGTATTTGGATCGACGATATCATCTACTACTGTTTTTCCAATTATCATGTAATTTTCAGGAATTGTGTAGGTTGGTGTCTAAATGTTCCCACATCAATTTTATCAAATTCTATCGAACACTTCTGTATACGCACACGTAAATGTATATAAATTATAATGCATCTACAGCTAATATTTTATATTTAATGGGAATTTATAAATATATCTGTGAAAAAAAAAAAAAATATATCAATTAAAGTATTATTTTTTAAGTGAAACTCCTAGCTGAACACACCTCCCTGAAGAAGACCTGCAAAGTCGGGTCGAAACGTTGGCTTTTAATAAAATAGTTTTGTCACTATTTAGCCTATGTATGACCGCAACCCCGGACAATCCCCTTCCTTTTTAAAGTATTATTAATCGTGTAAATACATTTTTAATAGAATTTAAGCATCACTTAAACATCATTTCATATAAATATTCAGTTTCTTAATATTTTTCTTGTGCAACCATCGTTGTATGTATAGCTTTCGAACTGAAGCTATACATACATCTCCCCTCCACCAAAATTAAATCCTGGGTCTAAGATTTTGAAATAGAGGCTCTTCGGATGAAATCAATATATTTAAAAACTATAGCACTCTTGCTCAATCTCCACTGGGTTGAGCTCTAGTACGCGGTTGAGAGAGGAGTGCAGGGAACTCCTTCAGTCATACTTTTCCCTCCACAGTTGGAGGGACAAGTCTGGTTTGGAGTTCTCTCGCTAAATTGTAAAGATTGTATATAGGCGTGTATGTGTTCTTTTTATTTATTTATTTTTAGGTTATTTTATTCTTATTTATTGTATATATATATATTATTTTTCTGTATAATTTATTTTATTTATTGTACTTAGAGTGTGAATGTGATCTTTGAACTCTATTATAAATGTCTTAGAGACAGATTGTAAATAAGTTTTAAAAAAAAAACTATAAAAACTATAATTTTGTTTGATGACTATATAACGTTTGAAAGGTAGAAAATATAAAATTAAAAGCTCATAGTTTCGCTTTCTAGAAACTCTACTATTCAACGATTCAATCTACTTATCTTACTAATTTTTTAAATATCACAAATGAGGGTCTTTAATTAGTGTAAAAGATTCAGTTAGGTTAAGAAAAGCAATTATTGCCGGAGCTGTAGGTGGGAAGATGTGAGCAAAAGGTAAACCAAGTGGAGGGAGCGGGCCCTAAGATAGCTCATTAGGCCGGTAATAAAGTGGCTGAGGATGAGAACTGTTGGATGGTTCAATGGCTCAGTAATAACTCATTTATGGCTCTCGGTTATAACTCTTTAATTAATCCATTCCATATTGGATGATTGATGGCACCATAACTTAATTACTATAATTAAATGACTGTACCGAATCCTCTATTTATAGTACGACTTTATGTAAAGTCCATATAGAGTATCGACATCTTCGATATTGTATTATATCCTACTTGTTAGTGACGAATCGAACCGTGGAATTTATTGCAATCAATAAACTATAAACCTGAGGTTAGTGCTAATTTAATTGCCTTTTATCCCGGCCATAAAATAAATGGTTCATACTTTTAATCGATTCTGAGGTATGATGTGTGCCTTTTTATGTACGTTTTACGATTATATCGGTGTCATAAGTAGGGTTTTTTATTCGGGGTAAGTTTATCACCTAGATAGCTATCGAAGGCTGTTAATATTTTTACTTCCCACGTACTCAAGGTAAACTTAAAAAAATAATAATAATATTAAAAAAAATAATGGTCTAAATTTAACAAAAAAAGCCAGTTGTCAAAGTCCTGAATGAAATCCCTCCTCTCAAAAGAAAATCAAAGGATATACATTAATTGTTTAAGCAAGT